TCCAAAAGTGTAAATATATAGGAGGCCAATTTTTAAGTAATCTTCAAAGCCTAGAGCCATTTTATCAATTATAAACCAGCCGCAACTAATTATATAGACGTAAATTAAAAATTTCACGAAGTTTGTGCTATTTGCGGCAAGAATAAAATTTATGTTTTACCTGAAAATTGACCTTTTTATGTACTTGTACTTTTTCTTCTTATTTCCTTACATATTTATAGATTTTTAGGTAAATAATAAATTGAAAACTTGCCGCAAACAACACAAATCACGTAAACTTTTATTTTATGTCTTACAGATTAGTTGCGGCTGGTTTATAATTGATTAAATGGCTCTAGGCCTTAAAACTCTGTTTAAGAATTTTAGAGGCCACTTTTCAAGCAAAAATGAAGACCGCTAGATGGCGCTGATCCAAAAAATCATTACAAATTACAACTTACAGTAAAGCCATGTAATCACATATAAACCAGCCGCAATTAATTCTATAGATAGACAATAAATAGTTGACATTTTAAATGCTATTTGCGGCAAGTGTACAATTTATCTTTTACCCAAAAATCGATCCTTAAAGATATAGATAGTCTACTTATATGGTTTAATAAAAACGACCATATATCCATATGACACTACTTGCTTACTTAGTAGTGATTACTATAATTACTATACATAACTTCACGTATATCTTACACTGTGCTCTCTTTACCAGAATGATAAAATCAGAGGCTGTATTCCGTAAATGCTGCCATCAGTGATCAGTTAAGTTGCGAAGATCGTGGCATGGTCGGGCGGCGTTACCGTCAACCTTAGTCAGTCAGAGTATAAAATTACATTTAGACAACTGACTTAAAAACTATTGCTGAGAATATGAATAATTGAGTAAAGGAAGAATAATGTACCCAAAGTTAAGACTGTTTAAAAAATATTTTTTACCTAAATGTGCATGATTATTAACATATAAAGCGATAATATATCCTATTTACAAAGTATATACATTATTAATATTTCATTTTAATAGTTGATTACAAAAAACTAGTGAACTTCTGGAGACTGTGAAAATAAGACAATAAGAACCCAAAACTGCAGTAAAGTCTGAAAGAGTTTATTTTAATTGAATAATTGTAATGTCAACAAGTACGCAATTAATAAGTATACATACACTCACAATCCTACATAAAAACTCCAATTGAAACATTATACCGTAAAACTGTGCATGTTAATTCGCTTAACGGGGACTGTCTTTTGCTTCGCGCGTAGGGGGGGGCGATCGAGCATGAATGAGTATTTGACGAGCTTATCCAAATGATAAATACATTATCGATTGACAATTGATGTATTGTACCCACTACTCATATAGGTATTACATAAACATGTACACAGGTCCTATGGATTATTGTTGGTGGCTATAATGGTCTCGCTCTTTTTTCGCAACGTCTGGTGTAACGAAAATACACGTAGGATGAAAATACGATTGGATGCGAAAATTAATTTATGCGAGATAAAAGGTGTAAGAGCTCCTATCGAATAAACGGTACATGGAAAAAAAAACCTGTGTGATAAGCGAGGTGATAACGATGCCAACTCAGGCTCACATTGTACACTAAGATGTTTAATTGCTCCGAAATAACCTGTTGGACCTCCTTTTGCCACAGAAAAGAAGGAAGATAAATCGTATACGTCATGGTGGTGGTCGAAGAAGGTGGAATGCCGCGCAAAGAGAATAAGGATATTACGCGCTGACGGTTGCTGTTACTTTATTGCGGTCACGCGTACTTAATTCGCTTCATCCCGTGCGCGCGTCCGAGTTGTACATACCCAAGTCATGCTATTTCGAATCGATCACCGTGCACCTATCCGCGTGGGGCTAATAAAAATAATAACAATTGAAAAAATTTCCATTTACTCGGGGCAGATGATCTTGCTTTGCGCGTCTTGTTTCGCCGATGACTCCAAGGACAAGGAGGCCAACAGCGTCACCGACAAAAACACGATAGCCGACGAGCCGCCCGAGGGATACTACGCCTTTGTGGAGTCGCCGAACGCCGAACCGCCGAAAGTCAGGCCGCCACCCTACATCGACAGCGACAAGGAGTGCCGAGGTATACATACATACATATACACATATATATATATATATATGAATTTTTGCTTCGGCCGATATCGGAAAGAAAAAAATAAAATAAAAAAAGAAATTCTTTCGTTATTGCAGACAATGGCAAACAGGGCAAGGGCTTCGTCTCGATAGACAACATATGCGGTGATCTCAACAAGGGATACATCCCGAGGAACCCCATGAAGCACTCTTTCGCCGGATCCTCCTACCCGTTGTGAGTATCATCTATACACGTATACCTATTTGTAAAAGAACGTGATTTCACGTGACGATTCGCAGCGAGCTCATAAGGAACCACACCCTCAAGTTCCTGAGCAAAGCACTACCGATCCTCAAAGCCGACGACTCCCTGCCCAAGGTCGCCAAAGTTCAGCCCTTCTCGCAAAACTCGTGAGTTGTCGTTAATTGTTTTACCACAGTTTGTTTGATTATATAAAGTATACGATCGAAAAATCGGTACTGTTCGAATTTCAGCGTCGATACCGATCAGAAGCGCAGCTTAAGGAAAAAACGCTCGGCAAACGAGCAGCTGAGCGAGACGAGCCGCAGCGGCAGGAAGTTCTGCGAAAACGGAAGCGGAGTGTAAGTATATATGTAACGGCGCTTAAACGTGTGTTTTTCCGAACCGATGGACGTATATATATGTATTATACCCGTATTAAAAAATGGCAGGGTGTGCATGCTGTACAAGGCGATTCAGGGCGAGCCGTTGGGCCAACCGGCGGCCGAGCGTAGGGACGAGCCACCGGCCACGAGTGCCAACGTGGAGTATCGCCAGCGGACGCCGAGCCAAGAGAAAACGACCGAGTACACGGGACCCCCGACCCCGTGTCCTGCCAAGGTCGAGTACGCCACGCCGGTATTTGCCAAGAACTACCAGGGCGTGTGGCGCTACGTCGTCCAAATACCCTACGAGGGGTACTTCACCCAGACGATCGAGGTCACGCGATGCATGTAAGGATCTTACGATTTGTTACAAATTGCTTTTCACGGCTTATGCGATTGCTAATGGGGGATTTCTGATTACCATTTCAAAACGACGCTCGTACCGTGACGTGGGGTTTCGCTACCCGAGCAAGCTATACGTGTTTTCATCGTGCATCGACAGGTTTCAACAATCGCCAAATAATGGAGCGACGTGTTTTTCGTTTTTTCTTAGGCCGGTTTTCAACATTTTTTTATCAACTATCGTACAACTTGAGACACACGCACGTAACAATAAGAGATCGAGACTTGTATAGGGAAGGAGATGCGTTAACAAATCACCCGTAATAGGTGTAAAGTACGAATTTCGAGGAGGGACAATAAAAAAAATCGACTATCTTTGCAATTTTACCGTAGCCAACGGGCTTATTTTACAAAAAAAAAAAAAAAAACAAAAATCACCAAATGCTCGTGATACGTACAAAATCCAAGAAAAACTCTCGTTGTTTACCATGAAATAAAATCTGTTTATCTTTTCTTTGTAAAATAGTAACGCGACAAACAATAAAAAACAAAAAATACTTATCTTCCGGAGTAAATTAGAACAGTTCGTACACGCCGACGCGTGCCAGTGCGGGGGGGGGGGGTCACGATATCTCGAATAAACACAATGACCATCGTATAAGTACTCTGCGAAACAAAAAAACAAAAAATCAATCTCGCAGCCAATCGAGATGCCACTACCTGGACGGCGGTTGCCTGTCGTCGCCCCGCTGGACGAGCCTACTCGTGGCCGAGATCTTCTACCCGGATACCTTCCTCGAGGAGAGCCCGAGCGGCGGCCGACTACCCGGACCGCCCCGTGACCCGGTGGCTGGCTCCCCCCCGCCGGTCCAGGACTTCCAAAATTACCAACAGTATCTGCAGAAGCGAGCCGGCGAAAGCGAGGCCCGCAGCAGTAGCGGTGGTGCCAGCGGAGCCAGTGCCGGTGGACCGGTCAACGGAAGCAACGGCTCCCAGGCTGGACCCCATCACTGCGACGGTGTCGACGACATGGGCTGCTTCCAGGTATTTTTTTACATAATTTTAATAAAATAATTGTAGATTACAAATTTTTTTTTTTTCGTCTTCAACAAACACCATAGTTTCTGGTTAAAAAAAAAAAATAATAATAAATACAATAATAAAAAATAATCCGTGTTTTTCAGGTCCGATTGTATTATGACTGGTTCCTCGTGCCCGGCAGCTGCAAGTGCTGGCGTCCCGATTACTTCAACCGTTACTTTCGCCGAAGCAACCCAAGCCCGGAACTGTAAATCGTGATGCCCTGATTCGTACAATCGACAATCGAATCGTCAATTTCTCATCTGAACGTCATTTATTTCATATCGACATCGACAAAAAACAAAACAAAAAAAAGATAGAGACAAGAAAAAACATGCATCTGCTGGCAGTGGGAAGGGGGGGGGGGGACGTGCAGTATTTTGTGTGGAGGTTGCCGTTGTGCGAGACGGCAATGACGATAGCGGTACTTTATATTCCATTTGATATTTCTTTTCGTTGCGACGGGCAAAAAGAGACAGAGAGAGATTAAGACGGAACATTTGTAAAAATCAATAATTATATGGTTTAAAATAACGAACGGAAGAATCTCGACACGACAGGTTTATACATAAAAAAATATATATATAAGTAGTACGATGACGAGTGTCCAAGTTCTTTCGTTTTGACTGAATCGTGGGATTTATCATAGTTGTAAGCAGAGACGACATCACAAGTAAGGTTTTTAAAGCTCATGAAGAACAAATTCGTCGGGGCTTTCGAAATCACGTGATACGTCAAGACGAACTATTTTATTATTATTATTATTATTATTGTATTAGTTACTCACTTTTTACCATACGCTATTATTATTATTTTTATTTTGTAAATAAAACGAAAGTTTATGAAAAATTTGATGTGTTCATTATTTCATCTTTTTTTCGATTCCAAAAGTAATGATATCATTTGCGATAAAAATTTATATTAAAATATGTGCGGATCGATAGATAATTAAATATGGAACAAATCAAGTTTGCTTTATTTCCAATCTGACTGCAACAACCAAAAGTTCTACAGTTAAAACTAACACTTTAGATGGAAAAAAACTATTGTTTCCTTATGATCAGAATTAGAAACCGTGATTGGAAGAAAACAAAATTTTTGACCTACTTTAAGCCATTTTTTTAACTTTGGACGATTATATCCAAATGCGATTCATACTGCGCCTTCAGTAAGAAAAATGAGGTTTGCACCTGGTAACATGTAAGTACCACTGGATATACGAACTATTTTACTAAATCTTTGAAAATTGACATTTTACACTAGCGTATTTCGAGGAAAATTCGTGAATGTCTTGGAAAAACAACTATTTCGTATGGTACACCTTTATAAAAGTTTTCAAAAAATATTACACACCAAGAATGACTAAAAATATAAATTTTTGCCATTAAGAAATTAATTTTTTTACGACTGAGTGTCGAATATAAAAGTCGTAGATGGTAAAAAAGTAAAAAAAAATACTTTTAGTATTCCATGTTTTTCTTTACCTAAATCCTAAAACTCTAAACGAAAAAAAGGCATTTTTAATCAACCGAGACATTGTTTAACAGCGTTAAACTTTTTTATTTGAGATTTTTAGACAATCCTCTGTTTGTAAAAGTTTTATAACTTAAAAAAATACAACTTTTTCACATTGAATAATTTTTTCATAATAATGACAAAAATTTTCGAGGCAATGATAATTGTTTTATAGTAGCTGACGTTTCTGGTTGATATTTTAGAATAAATGATTTGACGCAAATCTTACAGGTTTGAAAAAACACAGCTCTTTAATACAAAGCAGAAATTGTGTCATAAAAAACCATTTTATCAAAAAAAATCATAAAAATGCGTATATTAATAACTATTCAAGCATGACTGCTGCACTGGAAAAAGTCACGTAACTTTTTAAGTCGATACAGTCAAAAAACGTTTTAAATAATGGAAAATCACATCCAACTAGCTTTGTGACTTTTTTGCTACTTTAAATCATTTATTTTTCTCTGATATATAAAAAAAAAAGTTTAAAAATCACCAGAAATCGTGAAACAGTATGAGTCAACAGAAAGTACTTGGTAATAAACTTACAAAGAATCAACGCCTTTTCATACAGATAAATGTGTCAATATAACGTTTTTTTAAACATAAAACGCTTTAGAGTACCCTTACCTTGCAGTTATAACAGTAATTATGCAATCCATACCTTTTCATAAAAATCGTATATCCACGAAATAACAAAAAATGAAGAGAAGAATCTGTAAAAAAATCTAGTAACTAAAAGCTTCATAAATATTGGCTCCCAAAGCTTTGAGCTCTTCGCTGAGTAGCAGTCTTTGCAGCCAATCGGACGGCAAATCACCACACGTTGGATTCTCTGGCACCTGGCCATTTAAAATTGGAATGATCTTGGCCATTGGCATTGTCACAGAGTTCAAGTTTACAAACGTGTCGGCACTTATGCTTGGATCATCAATTTTAGCATTTTGATTGAAGTACTCAGATATTCTGTCAATTAACAAAGCAAATCCACTTCTCAGATTGGTTTGCATCAAATCTTGGACTTCCTGGCTCTCTAAGAGATCCAGAGTTTGTTCCAACAACTTGGCAAGTGGTTTTTCTTTTTGGTTACTTGAGACGTAGTCTGGAGCAAAGATATAGGAGGAAAAGTTTTTCACTGGATCATGGCGTTCTGTGATCGATATCGTGGAAGTTATTGCCCAATAGATGTTCTGCACGTCACGCAAATGCAATTGATCCTGAAGAGAATAACTGGATATGATTTCTTTGACTTTTTCCTGTATCACCAGTGCTAGATTTTGTACTCCATCACTAATCAAATAGCCACACAACGACAAGTACTTTTCTTTTATACTGTCAGTAACTTTCTCTGCACTCTGTGGTGATGTGTCGGGGATCTTGTAATCTTTGAACATGCAACCGCCTAACACATTTAACTGTATTCTCAAAGTAATAACAAGCATGGTGTAAGAATAAATAATGGTTGCAGTTCTTGAGATAGCCAGAACGTTCAGAGTATTCCATGCCGACACTTTGTTTGGCACACCAACTCTCAGGTCATTAACAATTTTCTCACAGTCAAGACACTTGGTGATAGCAGTCCTCAGATTACCAGAAAGCATGAGCACTGTCTGGTCACATGTTCTTTCTGTGCTTTCAAAGTGTTGCCTGCGTCTGCTCCTTTCGAGCAACTCATTGACTTCCTTCTCCTGCCATTCTCGGAGTTTGCTTCGTGCATACCTGGCCAATATGTACAAGGTACCCACAAATACTCCACCGAAGAGAAATTTTCGTCTGTGGTTATAAAAAAAGTTTCTAACCCTGGCAAACATGACTCAATTTATTTACTGTTTAAGCCTTCAAGTATCACGTAATTACCATCAACTTTATTTCTTTGCATTTTCTGTGATACTTTTATTCAAACATTTTCATAACTGATATCGTTTCTTTCATAACTTGGTTGGAAACTTAATGCTGAAAAACATTGCAATCGATTGTTTTATTAACTATGTTTTTTATTGTACAATAATACACTTAAGTAGCAAAAATGAGAAACTAACCTTACAAGAACAGAAACAGGGTTTAATATGATTTTATAGTTCGTCAAGAGATAACAAGTACTTACTACGAATTAAGAAAAAAAATAATATTCACAAGTAATATTAAGTAAACGTATTATACTATATTGTGAATATATTGTAATCACGCACGGTAACATTATTCGCTATCTTCTGAACAAGTCAACAAGTACGCAATTAATAAGTATACATACACTCACAATCCTACATAAAAACTCCAATTGAAACATTATACCGTAAAACTAAAAATAAATTATTTTTTAATGTAGTACTTACTTCGAGCCCTTTGTATTAGAACCTGTTTCACTCCAAAATTAACTCCAAACTCAGAAAATTTTTATTTTAAAAAATGCTTGTGTTGGAAAAGTAATGAGCGATTGTTTTTAAAAAACTTTTACTCCATTTTCAAACTTTAGCTTATACTACTTATACTTAAGACTAAAAATTTATGTTAGCACATAAATTCTGAAATTAAAAATTTTTTGTCTTAATACAGCATGCCTCGCCCAATGTTTTTTTTTTATCGCTTTTGAGGGACTCTTGATGTGACCATTTTCGTGGAGTAGCTTCTATACGCTGCCCAGCAGTAGTTATTCGATGTTTTCCGCAATCGTCATCAGCAAGTAATTTAAGGATGCGCTCTACGTTACCGTCAGGTCAGTAAGTCAACTACCTTGAATTAACTGGCGCTCTGTTCCGTAATCTGGCCAGTAAATACAGCAGACGACAGTTAACAGCGATGAAATCTTCACTTTTTTCTCGACTTTCACGTCGTCTGCTGTTTTTACTGGCCAGATTACGGAACAGAGCGCCAGTCAATTCAAGGTAGTTGACTTACCGACTTGACGGTAACGTAGAGCGCATCCTTAAATTACTTGCTGGTGACGATTGCAGAAAACACCCAAGATCTCGGTGTAGCATGGGAATAAAAACAGCAAAAAATATTAAATTTGTTGTGTTGATATGCGGCACCCACCGACAGTATATGAATATGTAACTGCCTGGCAGCATTTACGGAATACAGCCTCTGATTTTATCATTCTGGTAAAGAGAGCACAGTGCATGTGAGATATACGTGAAGTTATGTATAGTAATTATAGTAATCACTACTAAGTAAGTAAGTAGTGTCATATATATGGATATATGGTCGTTTTTATTAAACCATATAAGTAGACTATCTATATCTTTAAGGATCGATTTTTGGGTAAAAGATAAATTGTACACTTGCCGCAAATAGCATTTAAAATGTCAACTATTTATTGTCTATCTATAGGATTAATTGCGGCTGGTTTATATGTGATTACATGGCTTTACTGTAAGTTGTAATAATTTTTTGGATCAGCGCCATCTAACGGTCTTTATTTTTTGGCCAAAAGTGGCTCCTAAAATTCTCGATCAGAGCAATCAGGATTAGAGCCATTTAGTCAATTATAAACCAGCCGCAACTTATGTTGAAGCTGTAAAATAGAAAAATAACGATACATGTGTTTTTGGCGGCAAGTTAACAATTTATATTTATTCGAAAATTCATTTTCAAAAGTATAAATACATAGGAGGTCAATCTTTTGGTAGAAAATAAATAGTTAACTTGCCGCCAAAAACACATATATTGTTATTTTTCTATTTTACAGCTTCAACATAAGTTGCGGCTGGTTTATAATAGATTAAATGGCTCTAATCCTGATTGCTCTGATCGAGAATTTTAGGAGCCACTTTTGGCCAAAAAATAAAGACCGTTAGATGGCGCTGATCCAAATAATTATTGCTATTTACAGTAAAGTCACTTTATTAATTATAAACCAGCCGCAATTGATCGTATAGATAGACAATAAAAAGTTAACATTTTTTGTGCAGTTTGCGGCAAGTTTATTATATATATTTTATACGAAAATCTACCTCCAAAAGTGTAAATATATAGGAGGCCAATTTTTAAGTAATCTTCAAAGCCTAGAGCCATTTTATCAATTATAAACCAGCCGCAACTAATTATATAGACGTAAATTAAAAATTTCACGAAGTTTGTGCTATTTGCGGCAAGAATAAAATTTATGTTTTACCTGAAAATTGACCTTTTTATGTACTTGTACTTTTTCTTCTTATTTCCTTACATATTTATAGATTTTTAGGTAAATAATAAATTGAAAACTTGCCGCAAACAACACAAATCACGTAAACTTTTATTTTATGTCTTACAGATTAGTTGCGGCTGGTTTATAATTGATTAAATGGCTCTAGGCCTTAAAACTCTGTTTAAGAATTTTAGAGGCCACTTTTCAAGCAAAAATGAAGACCGCTAGATGGCGCTGATCCAAAAAATCATTACAAATTACAACTTACAGTAAAGCCATGTAATCACATATAAACCAGCCGCAATTAATTCTATAGATAGACAATAAATAGTTGACATTTTAAATGCTATTTGCGGCAAGTGTACAATTTATCTTTTACCCAAAAATCGATCCTTAAAGATATAGATAGTCTACTTATATGGTTTAATAAAAACGACCATATATCCATATGACACTACTTGCTTACTTAGTAGTGATTACTATAATTACTATACATAACTTCACGTATATCTTACACTGTGCTCTCTTTACCAGAATGATAAAATCAGAGGCTGTATTCCGTAAATGCTGCCATCAGTGATCAGTTAAGTTGCGAAGATCGTGGCATGGTCGGGCGGCGTTACCGTCAACCTTAGTCAGTCAGAGTATAAAATTACATTTAGACAACTGACTTAAAAACTATTGCTGAGAATATGAATAATTGAGTAAAGGAAGAATAATGTACCCAAAGTTAAGACTGTTTAAAAAATATTTTTTACCTAAATGTGCATGATTATTAACATATAAAGCGATAATATATCCTATTTACAAAGTATATACATTATTAATATTTCATTTTAATAGTTGATTACAAAAAACTAGTGAACTTCTGGAGACTGTGAAAATAAGACAATAAGAACCCAAAACTGCAGTAAAGTCTGAAAGAGTTTATTTTAATTGAATAATTGTAATGAATTTACTGTAAAATTTTTGATGTATTATTTAACTTAGTACTCACTATGTAAATTACTACGAAGATTCGTGCTAGTGGATATCGTCTTAAAAATACACCCATCCTCACACCAATTGCATCTAATGACGAGTAAGCTCGCTTTACCCGCCTAGTAACACCAGTATCAAAAGGACTTTCTACTAAAAAGCTAGGCAATAAAGCTTTGGCGTCATCAGTGTCGTTGATACTGTTAAAAGTCAAATTTTGCCTCCATTTTTGATATTCGTGCTGAAAAAAAAAAAAACATAAATAAATTATTAAAGTTGTGACGATTCGATTGATTAGTCAAAGAAAAATTGACAATGATTAAATTCACCTCTAGTTTTTCAAGTTGTAATCTCAAAGCGTTTCTGTCCGTAGTTAAATGCTCAAGTTCCTGTTGTTTTATTACCAAAGTTCTCGTTAATGTAGACAAGCGCATTTCTACTTCCGAATTTGGAATAGCCGAAGATGAAAGACGTGACCTCAGTTTCGAGATTTCCGATTCATGTTTATGGAGTGTTGCAGAGAAAGTATTTTGCTGTAGAACCAGCTCTTCGTGCAACGACCGAACTTCTTCGCTTCTGAGCCTGGCATCTTCTTCAGCATCTAATCGTTTTGTTCTCTCAGCAGCAACGGCTTCTCGGGCTTGAATACTGGCTTCTATGGCTTTCTGCCGCATTTTTTCAGAGTTCAGTTCAGCATCTACTGAATCTTGACGAGCTAAACGAAGTTTTTCGCGAATTTGTCGATTTTCTTCCCTAAGTAATTCACGTTCTTGCCTAAAATACACAGATTAACAAGTGAAATGATTTTGTGCTGTACAAATTATAATATCAAAACCAATTACCGTAACTGATCAAGTTCAACTGAAACACTTGTGTCTTCAATTTCAGTTCTATTAGAATTATTTCTTAAATCAGCTATGAGCTTATCTCTTTCCTGTAGTGTTTTCATAGCCCTAGCTCGATGTTGTTCAAGCTCTGACTCCACAGAACTCAATTCATACCTAGTTTTTTCCAACGTTGAGGTAAGATCTGAAATTTCTCTGATAAAACGCGTTCTTTCTGAACTGAAATTATTAATTTTTTCATGAAGAGCAGCTATCTCTTTTTGGTGCTCTAACCTTAGCTGCTGTTCTTTATCCACAGACTTTGGGCTACTTTTTATGGGTAATCGAAATTTGATTTTTTCAACATCTTCTATGAATTATAAAATGAACGCTATTATTTGAAAAAAAAATTATATTCCTAGCTTGCGTAGCAAGTATTTACCATTTAGTTTTGGATATTCAATTTCACTTGGATCATTATTCTCAGTTATATTGCTTTTATCAATATGATAATTGTCAGGCTGATTATTGCTTGGAATATCTAATGATTCATCGATTATGGAAGAACTTTGTGCTGCTCGATCAAGCCATGCCATTGATTCAGAGTGCAGATTTAAAGATCTGTCCCCGTGGGCGGGTGTAGTTGGTGCTGATAATGTCATTTTATTTGGTGTGAATGGACCTCTGTCCACAAAAGAATCAGAGCATCTGTAGGTATACAGAAAACGTTTGAATCGTCATACAATTGGAAAACGAACCAAAGTTAAATGTACCATAAGTAATTTAAGTATATGCCCAGTAGAAAAAAAAAAGTTGTATCAACCATGAATAAAACACTACTTGAAGATGAGCAGGTGTATAGTTTATCCTCACCTCTCTGCTTCATCTCGCAGAAACTCCTCAACTGTCAAATTGGAGTCGGGCGGCAGTGATCTAACCTCTAGTAGGCTTGACTCCAGCGAATTTTTATCATCCTTCTTGAGCACCGCAGCCGTACTTCTGTCGATATTGTTCAACACCTCTTCGGCTTTGCCAGCCAAGTCTGACAACCAGGCCATACTCCAAACTGGCTTGTATGAACAAAAAAAAACAATAACTACATGCACTCCCTGTCACTGCTATGGATAATCATAGCTGAGCTCTGAGCTAAAACTCTGTGACTCTGACACGTCAGTCTCCTCGTTTTAATAGGTAAGTCTCTACATGAATTCTGCGTGTGTACATACTACATACTTACACGGCTGCGGTCTTTCGTTTGCAATTAATCAGCTGGTCGACGCCATCTTTGGGAAAGTCGATATTTTTTGATTTCTGTTTCTTCTTGTATTTTATAGTAACATTTAAGTATATACTTATGGATGCATTATACATATTTTGTTTCAAAATTATTAAATTGCCAAGTGCTGGACAAGCTAAAAAGACGTTATATAACTGACGAATTCATCATGACTCCAAAATCACATATGATCGATTCTCTCTCTCTCTCTTTCGACCTATATATATATCTTGGTCTTTTGTTTTGGTAAACAAACAGACGACGCACTGCTCCGAATTTAATGTCAACGAGTGTATGTTGACATATATATATAATGTGTGGGTGTATAATATGTATATATAGATTTGCTACTTGTTTTTGACTGTAATATTACGTTCAGCTTTTCTTATAGCAGTAAAAGTATTCAGGATTTTCAACAAATATTATTGGCTGATATCTGTTTATTTACTTTTCGAGATTTCAATAACCTCCGATGTGTATTATTAAGTTCACAAAAAGGTTATTTATATTGTTTTTAAAAGAAATTTACCTTAATATTGTTACCTTGTACGTATACGTACAAATTAGTGAGCTTTATAAAAAAGGAAATAAGTAATACATCGTAAACTGAACGAAGTCGATCCCTACCTTCCACCATGGTTGCTTTTGGAATCATGTATAAATTCAAAGCGTATAAAGTTTTTGCACAATAGAAGTTTTTGATTCGAGGATAATTAAGGACTTTCTAACGGGACTGAAAGTATATATATATATATATATATGTGTGTGTGTGTACATACACTTGTAGGTGTATATATGTATATAATATGTGATGGTAGAGGGCAAAAGAGAATGTTGCGTTGTATACTGTAAGACCACTGTACACGTTTTATCTTTGAATATAAGAGATAAAATAGGAAGTGTACATGCAACTGTAGGCTGCATAGCCGTACAATGTACCCGGAAAGCTACTCAACCGAAGTAGCAAAATGCACCGAGTAAGTGATAATTGACGTTACATCGATCGATTCCATCGCGGTTGCTGCCCACTGCATATACAATGGAATAGGATAGAATTGTTTGCGAAATAAGTACGTGGTACTGGGGAAAGTTCTGTGTGTATGTAATCCTGGTTTTTTGGCGTTACATAGGAGGGAAATTTTCGTTCCCACAAATAATAAGATTGACGCTTTCTATACATAATAAGCGCGGACTAACGAACGCCTTCTTGTTATATAGCAAGAAGGTGCGGTGCACCTTGTAGCAGATTTTTGCTCTTGATAAATGGATAATTGGTACGATAATACAACAACTTGTTCTCTCTAGTCCATTTTTAAGTGAAAAAAAAAAAAAAAAAAAAAATACATTCATATGAAAATATGCACGTCTATACTTAACTAAATTCAGGCAAGAAGGTGGTAAATAATGAATCGTTACAAGATCATATTTTTTTCTTTTTGTATATTTTCTTTTCAGGATAACTTTAATTTATCCCGTGTTTTTTTTATGAAAAATAAATATATACACTTTGTTTTATTTATTTTTTGGTATAACAAAAGATACGTTATCGTATATGTTATAATATATCCTAACACGTTATTATAATTTGTACTGAGAGCAAATGATATACAGAGAATACTGATGAAAAACAATATGATAATACACATTAGATTTGTTCAAGCCCCTTTTGGTTCGGTTCGGTTCTCTTAACAAAATGTACCTATATGTATAGGGAACAAAACAGAACTGGTTCTGTATATATAGGTATATTTTGTTAAGAGAACCGAACCGAACCAAAAGGGGCTTGAACGAACCTATTATAATAAAATCTCTTTGATTTTAACATGTATACATACGTACGTATGTTTATGTATAATATATATATATATATATATTTGTATAATCACGATTTTTTTGCGAATAAACGATTTTTATCGTCTCATCGCCTACACGTATTAAATACCTGTGTTACAACATTTATTAACTTGAATATTTTTTTGTCTTCGCGAAAATGGGGGAAAAAAAAAACTGAAACACAGAGAAAAAGTAAACTGTACTACTTTCTTCTTAAATGTTTCATCGCACCTGTCATCTACGTTTACACAATTTTTTCGTTGATAATGTATCCTGTATTTTGTTAGTACAACCTACGTGGTAAATAAGTGTATAGGCAACACAATACATGAGTATGTATATAAATAAAAAATGATCATCTCCTGCACATGCAAGCGAAGAAAGATCACGTTGCACATAATTGTGTGTACAATATTATCAATCTTAAAGACCATGAGAGAGTATAAAATAAACAAATGACGTGATTTAGTTTACAAAATGAGCATTAGGGTGAGGGGGGGGGCCTTACGAGGGCCATGATTTGTAATCGTGTGTATCGGTAGTTGTGTAAGCACGTGTGAGCTTTTAGTACCAGATGCGGTAATATACATATATTATGTATCAATAATACTTTTAACGACACATTGCAGAGTGAGGGCCTCGATCGGGTACACACACACACCCAACGCATATTATTTGTTTACTTCTTCTTGGTGGCGGCGGTCTTTCTAGGCTTGCCCGTGGCAACGGGGGACTTCTTGGCGGGCTTCTTCGACTTTGGCTTGGGCGGCTTGGCGGCCAGCGGCTTCGAGCTCTTCTTCTTGGGGCTACCGGGCTTCTTAACCGTTGCCTTGGTCTTCTTCGCGGGCGTGCTCTTCTTGGGAGCAGCAGACGACGAGCGCCGCTTCTTGGCCGGGCTGAGCTTGAAAGTCCCCGCTCGGGAGCCCCCGGCCGAGGTAGCCTTCAAGTACTTTTTGATGGCCGGGGTGAGCTTCTCGACGTCGACGTTGTGGTTCGCGGCCAGGTAGCGCTTGATCGCCGCCAAGCTCGAGCCTCCCGACTCCTTCAGCCCCGCTATCGCCGACTCAACCAGCTCACCTACCTTGGCGCTGCCGCTGCTGCTCTTCCTAGCCGCGGACGGTTGCCGGGACTTTAACCTCTTGGCCGCAGCCGCCTTGGCTGCCGCTGCTTTTTTCGCGGATGCCACGGCCGCGCCCGAGGGTACCATGGACCTGCCTACCATGATTATGCTCTACCGACACTCCGAAACACGTGCACCTACTCTTTGTTTTGATTCGGAAAGCTCTTGTCAGACTACAGCTGATAGACGCGCGAAAGCTGGCAAGCGGAGAAATAGTAAACACCGCGGCGGCGCGGCGCGCGGTAGAGATGTGACAGCGCGGACCTCGCGGAGAGTCCCCTGTGTTCTGGTGCCTTTGGCGCGCCTTCGCGAGCTCTGTCCTCGGTACGCGCCGTCCGTCTTCTTCGGGCTTTTTTCAAGGACGTGGGCGGGATATCGCGGCAACCAACGCGCGTGGCATCCGACGTAAGGACCGGAGGCACAACGGAGACGGGAGTGCCGGGGCGCGGACCGATCGGCTCGGAGCTTGCGGAGCTTTTTCGAGAGCGCGCTTTTCGAGGGTCGTCGCGGACCCCGTGGAAAAAGCGGCGCCCCGAGTCGTCCAGGAGTGGGATTCGGGTGGAACTGGTTGGGCCGAGCGGAGAAAAGACGGGGCTCGGGTGGGAGCTTTGGACGTGGACGGTGGGGTAGCGCGCTCGGCGCCAAAGTGCCTTTCTCGCTCTCGCGCGGACAGAGCGGAGCTCGGGGTGTCACGCGAGCTGCCGAGCGTGCGGTTTCTTCCCCCCCGTTGTTTGCCAAAATTTTTGCACCCCCTGGGATTTTCCGTTTTTCGACCGAGGAACGAGCGTTTCGTTGGATTGACGGGGGTAAGGGAAGAGAGGGCTTTGGTGGACTTTGACGGAGGCTCGCGTTTCGTTCGAGTCTCTCTCGGAGGCAACGTTTGGTTTGGGGTTGATTCAGGTTGCCGGTGGTTAACGCAAACACGGTTGGTTCGACGGTTGGTTAACGACTTTTTTTACAAACTATAAGTACTTTTGACGGTTTTGAAAGCTCTCGTTCTAGACCGATCTCACAGGAAGGATCATTTATACTTGTTTGCGATGGTTCAATTTTCGTTTGTTTCTCGCGTGGATTGCGGGTACTTTTGAACCGTCATCTTCATTCCATGAAAATTGCTTAGCAATTGCAGAGGATCGTCAAATTTTTGACCTTTACAACGAACGGACACGAGATCGGTATTGGGTATACATACATACTCCGTTGGTTAATTTATCGTGGATCATATAATATGTTTCGAAGCTATGGAAAAAATCGATAAAATCGCGACATCGCACACAAAAAGGATATTGTTCGAAATACTGAAATACAATATAATTATCGTACATTTATCTTCACTATTAGTTTAATGCAATAAGCTTGAATATAATGAAAACAGGAGACGCATTTTAAAACGTGTCAACTGTAAGTTGTTGAATAACTGTGCCTTCTTGGCCGCTCGATTAATTGCCGTACATGCAATATGCGCTACCGCAAACATTGTACCTGGATGGGCGATCGGCTGCCAATAGTCTCTAAACAATATAGTGATAATTATTGAATTACGAATGTGATTTGACAAATGAAATCGAGAGGAGATCGGAACGCTGCATACCGATCCCGCGTAGATCGCTCTCGCTCTCCAACGATGGGAGCGGCGATAAAAGCGACCATCGAATTGCACCTCGCGAAAAATAATATAAACAAACCAGACTTCTGGTAAAAGCTCTACGAGCACCGCCGAAACAACGCACGGAGAGAACGCGGATTCGTCGTGTGTTACAAAATTAAACGATAAGGCAACAACCATCTCTCGGCAAGGGGTGACAGAAAAATCCAGCTGGTCCAGCTGATTGTTATTGTTAAAACGCGTGCATATACCTATACCGTGGATATTCACTTGGATGAGAATATATCTATACCTGTATGCATTGTCGCTCTCGTATTGTAACCAATTTCCCTGCACCCGTCACCCCACGATCGCTCTCCCTGTGTGTGATAAGTACACACCCGCGCACTTTCCTCTTCGTAGATTTGTAGTCGTATGTGCAAATATGTATATATATATAATACTAAATGATTCAATGAAAAAAAAGAATTATTAACACACTCCCCCCTTAACCATCCCCCTGATGTTTTTTCTCTTTCTCTTATTCCCCCTTGTACATTATGTATTTTTATTTATCTCTCCGTCCAACAAAAGCAACAACAGAGAGCTCTAATCTATTTTACATACGGATGTAGGTGTAGGTACGTTGTACGCTACAGGTACGTATAATACGTATGTGCACACGAGTGCACGATTTTCCGCACACGCTGCAAGCTGCATTGCAACAGTGCATACAGGTATACCGCGTGCATCGCGAATCGCACGTGTGACTGAAATCTCCACCCGTCCTTGTCTCGCGAAACGAGCGCGGACGTCTGAGAGAGGCCTCGCGGCTCCGTTGCACCGACAGGCCGCGCTTTCCGCGAGCCACCTGGTTTTCCCCGACAGCCGCGCCGACGATTTTCCGACGCCCCGTTGGCCCATCCCCCAAGAATTTCCCGTCGAACGGGAGCTCCGATGTCTCACCCCATCGACGATTACGTCGAGCCGCGGTTGGACCGAAACCGGCAGTCGCAATTTCCCCGCCGAGCTGGTGTCGCGCGAGCGGAACAACCGCGCACCGCCGGGAAAATCCGAGATTTTCCGGGACCTTCGCCTGGGAGGGGCGTTGGATGCCATGTCCTCGGCCGGCCAAAGCTTTCGAGCTTCCTGCGGTGCAAGTTTTTCGGGGGAAAAAGGCCAGGGGTGGGCGCTAGGATATCTGGGAAGCCGGGCGGGCTGCTGCCACGACTGGGACGCAACCAGACGCAACTGCCATCGACTGGCTACTGCGCTTTCCTTTCATGCGAGGGACACACGGGTTCCAAGGGAGAAAAGCTCGTTGACGGTGTTTTTTTTTCCCCATCTTCGGGCGGGGCAATGCGAACCCCATCATGGAGTTCCGAACTTGGATTCTGATGTGTATAGCACATCGTTTGTTTTTCACTGTAGAAGATCCCGGGGGCTTTCTCGACGAGCGTGTCCTTCGACATTTTTCAACCCTAGTTCCCCCTATCTGTCCGAGCTTGCAGGTGAATTTTTCAAAATGTCAGTTTTTTTTTGTTTTTTGTTTTTTTTTTTTTTTTGACTTGTCGACGATTAAGTTATCAATTCGCAAAGAGTTTTTTAATAGTGTTCACCGTTGATGCAAAAATAAAAGCGTGGCGTTCATGCGGGATACTGAGCTTGCAAGCACACGAAGAGTTTCTAAATTTCGATACATCCCGTACGAGAGATTCGACGGGTGCACCCAATTGATATTTTGGCAAACTTAAGAAAAAAAAGTCCCGATTGAATGTTGTAATTTTTAAATTTTTTTTATAAAATGTCGCCATTCGAACGAAGACATTCACACGCAAAGTCGGATGCTCTACGCCAGTTCAGATAAAAAACGTACGAGCTTTTTGCATTTTTAAACCTTTTTTGCTTTTTTCTAAATTCAATTTGATAAAATCGTCCGTATACTTACCAGTAATTAAAGAAAAATCGAAGAAAGTAACGCAAGCCGTAAGCTCGGCGCGCGTCGCAGTTGCTCGTGTCCACCGCGTCAAGCGCACAGTATTGAAAATCGCAAATTTTCAAAATTTCCCTGAAAGCTCGACCACCCTAAGCAACGATTATCAAAAAAATGCACCAACTCGCGATCGCAATCAAACATCACCATCACCCGTAGCACCAAACAATACGGAGGAAAGCGACACTCGGACCCTCTTAAGTTTAAGCTCAACTTCCGCTCGACTCGCGAATCGGACAAAAACCATCCCAACGGTCGTCGAACGACGCTTTCCGATCCTTCCAGGGCGGAAAACTCGCAAAATCCCCCGGGGAAAATTTTTCCCACAGCCCCAGGAAGAGACTGATCAGGCCGCGACCGACGTTCCGCGAGACGCGCCTCATCGCGCGCCGAAAGCTTGACAGGACCGCTCCACCCGATCGACCGTGGCTCCCCGGCACCGCGGCCGATTTCCAAAATCCAAAGCTCCCACCCGAGCCCCGTCTTTTCTCCGCTCGGCCCAACCAGTTCCACCCGAATCCCACTGCTGGACGACTCGGGGCGCCGCTTTTTCCACGGGGTCCGCGACGACCCCCGAAAAGCGCGCTCTCGAAAAAGCCCTCGCCGCGCGCCGATCGCTCGACCGATCCGGGAGCTTTTTGCGAGGACAACAGCCCGAAAGCTCGAGGCGCCCGTGAAGCCAAAACCCCCCGGAAAATGAGCCCCCGGAGCCCGGGAAAGCCAACGCGAAACCGGCAAAGCGTACCGCCGCCAGAGCTGGCTGAGATGCGCCGAGAGTACCAAAGCACCCTGGCCTCTCCCCGCGGGCCGCGCTCCAATATCACTTGCGCAAGCCCGGCCGTTTTTCGGGCTACTACTTTCCCGTCGCTCCCAAAGTCAGTACCTCCTCTGCGCACGTATATACACCTTATATCATACCAACAACAACAACTAGGGGATAATGGCAGACAAATCGGTAGCGGTGGGCAGCGAGGCCCAGGTGGCGTCGTCGGCTTCGAGCCCGAAGAAGAGCGCATCGGCGAGCAGCAAGGCGAAGAAGCCCCGCAGCAAGCCCACGCACCCCCGGACCTCGGACATGGTGGTTGCGGCCATAAAAGCCCTCAAGGAGAGGGGCGGCAGCTCCCTCCAGGCGATCAAGAAGTTTATAGGGGCGACGTACAAGATCGACGCGGAGAAGCACGCGCCGTTCATCAAAAAGTACCTGAAGGGCGCCGTCGTCTCGAAGGAGATCATCCAGGTGAAAGGCAAGGGTGCCTCAGGGTCGTTCAAGCTGTCGGCGGCCAAGGCCGAGGGCAAGCCCGCGAGCAGGAAGAAGAGGCCGAGCAGCCCGGCGAAGAAGCCAGCGGTGCCGAAGAAGCGCGCGGTTCCCAAGAAATCGGTGAAAAAATCGGTAACTCCGAAGAAATCGGTTGCCGCAGCGGCTAAGAAACCGGCCGCCGCGAAAAAGCCGAAGAAGAGGATGAGCGTCAAGAGCGTGGTGAAGAAGCCCGCGGTGACGGCCAAGCCGAAGGTTGTCGCGGCGAAGAGGAAACCGTCACCGGCCAAGAAGCCCGTGGTGGCCAAGTCCGTGAGGAAACCGGCAGCGAAGAAGGCCCCGGCCAAGAAAAAGTAGACGATGGCTCCACGGTTTCCCACCACGTGTATATTTACCTGTACATATATGTATACCTGTCGTACTAGAAGAAGATATCATTAATTGTAGGAATAGAGGGAGGGTGCGATGGAGATTCGCAAACGGCCCTTTTAAGGGCCATTACATTTTTTCTTTCCTTTTTTTTTTTTTTTTTTTAATACAACAAATATTATATTTATCAACTCTGTCTCTGCGACGCGTGTACCGATTAACATTGTATTGGCCGTCGTCGTAGATGCATGTATTATTATTATTATATTTAAAAGAAAATATATATATAACATGTGTGTTCGATGGAATTAAATTATTTTTGTTTTGTATACCGATATCGCGTGAATTTATCATTTCTATATCCTGTTGTCACTTTTCTCCTGCATCCTTAAAATTATACAGCCGTAGATACACGTATGACTTTTCTTAAAATTTTATTGAATTGACATTCAATTATTGTTTTGTAACGACGATCAGAACAACTGGTTAAAAATGGTCACAGCTACATGCATGAAAAAAGAAAAAACTAGGTAAGGATAACATGTACAGCGGACGGGTCCTCATTGGCTTTTGGCTCGACAAGCTTCAGCTCGAATCGGTGAGTATTTGCGATTTTTAAAAAATCGGTATTTACAAAAAAAAAAAAAAAACGTACAATTAAAATTATTGCCATAACCTTTTTCGCTGCTACGACGCGTTGCCATGCAATATGTGTATTAAAAAAGAGTTATCCTCGCAATGTTAAGAATGTATATAGGCTTGTAAAAAACGATCAACACGACGGCGATCTCATGAATAATGTATCGATATGGGTGCAATCCGATGATGATGCGTCGAAAAACCTTAATAGGCTTTTGAGAAAAAAAAAAAAAAAAAAAAAAAAAAAAAAAAAAAAACATTGCTAATTATGCGAGATGTTGTTTTTTGAAAATGCACAAGCAAGTCAATGGCACTTGAATAATTTTTTTTTTTTTTTTCTAAATTGTAACAATCATCAATTGTACAGACTTTAATAACGATGACAATATAATCGAAAATAAAGTATACCAGATGATCGTATGTAGCAATGTTCATATTCACGCGTACCCAAACTATACCGCATCATCACGTGAATCTTATATGTAAGGGTTAAAATAGTTATAATTATGATTGTAGGTTGAATAACGTAGTTTATAGTTATCATTGATATAAATTGATATTAAGTCGACATGACGATACGTCATATTGAAAACTCCTGCTGTAACACAAAACTTTCCGTTAGACGTGATCACTACGTATATAGGTATATACGTGCTCTTAAGTACAGAATCGGGGGAAAAAACTAAAACGTCACGAATATGCTACGTGTATCTACGTGGGCGTGCCTATACGAAATATTTTTATACTATACACTCGATCATTTAAAACGTTTCTTCTTTTTATCGTACGCGTAACTGTTTACTGTCTTCCTTGTGTAAAATTGAAGAACACAACCCCCCTTCTTCATTCCCAGGGTAATCCCTCTTGACCTTGACCTAATTACGAACACCTCGAACTTTTCTTTTTTTTAAATAATGTTCATGCATGCACGTATCCTCAACTCAAGTATCATCACTGAATTCTCAATAAATTCCGGTTAACAAATTTTTCAATTTATTTCTATAAATTCTTTCATTTTGTTTATTTATAGTCACTTCGTATAGCACTTGTAAAACGAGGATTAATATTCTTCATTCTTGATCATACAAAAGCTTTCGAATGGATTTGAAGTGACATCATATACTGATTCATTTTATTTTTAGTGAAAAAACAACGAAACGTGTAAAAAGCCGTCGGCAAATTTCATAAATTTTTTTTTCAATTTAAATACATTAGTATTAGGAAATAATTGTATCCAATACTCCATTCATTATTTCTTTCACTTTCATTATATCAATTTATAATTAATTTTTATCCTCTGTTAAGATTCATAAGATAAACTCGTGTAGATTGTTAGATATCTAAATGGAATTTAAAATGTCTATTTACACTAATAAGGAATATAAATATACTTCGTTATTGGAAAAAAAAAAAAAAAAAAATACTTTGATGACTTAAAAATAGTTAAAACAATTGCAACACTTGGAAAACTAATAGGTTTTTTTGCTCTATAGAATTACGAAGAAAAAAGCGAGGATAACTTTTTCGAACCAAATCGAAAATTTCAAGTTCGGGTCGGTTAAAATCAATTGAGATCGGTCGATAAACTAAGTATTTAGACTTTCAACACCATAAAAAAAACAATCACCAGCATCCATTTGCCATGTATTTTTGACTAAAAAAGCCAAAAAGCCTTTAAACCCACTGTACCCGTACACCAGGAAAAGCGAGCCAAGGAAGCCGAGCGCGTAGCCCGAGGCGAACTGCCGCACCAGCGCAGATCCCGGCTTGTACGCGTCTTCCGCGAACCCAAGACCATACCTCGGCCGCCCGCGGATGAATCCAAATTCATCAGGTACAACCAGCCCGTGCTACTGCACGCCCCGGAAATCCTCGACCTGTGCCAGTTCTTCGCCAACAAGACCGGCTGCCCCGGCGACCTGACCGACGAGGGCGAGAAGCTCTACGGACTCGTGCTCGCTGCGACCGCCTCACCCGTCGACGTGGCCGCTGACGTCCGCAGGATCGAGGACGGCTGCGGCGTCGCCTGCATCGGTAACAAGATCCCAGCTGCAAGGTCGGTCTTTCAACTCGTGCCCGCAACTCGTCAATCCCAGCCAAACAGCCGCATCAGCTACGGAAGCGTGTTCTTCGTACAGGTGACAGATCCTGCAGTGCTGTGTATATACCTACTTCGTGATGTGTGATTCTATTTTTTTTTCAGCTTGTCCACGCCAGCGACGCGCTCTACCTGAGATCGGAGCCACCTCTCGTTGACGGTAGGTTCGCGCCGAGGTATCACAATCCGGTGCGCTTGAATCGCCTGCGGGACTGCTACGCCAAGTGGCGAGCCGTTCATTGGGACCGGCACCAGAGGTTCGAGACCGAGGGCGAGCCGGTGTCCCCTTGCGAAAGGTGAATTTTTGTTGCTCGCCGTCGTATCGAATGGTATCAATATCAAGACACACTTATTGTTGCTTTTTTTTTTTTTTTTTTTTTTTTTTTTTTTTTTTTTTTTTTNAAATGTCGTTTTAAAAAAATAACCGCTATACGGGCGTCGCTCGTCTCAATAATATCATGTCGTTATATAGAATCCTGTACAACAACGCATATAAAAGTTTACATGTTTATAGAGAAACATAATTAAAGTTACAATGGGTACGTTGCGCCTCAAAGGTACAACGTGGGTTACAACATTTTTAAAGTCAAACAAAACTTAAAAATAACAAAAACAGAAAAAATAAAATAAAATAATAAAGAAAATTTACAACCAAGCGTGCGTCGTAAAAAAATGTGACAGAAGAAAGACTAATTAAAATGCTACAACATTGGATCGACAGGATCGTCATTCAGCACGTGATGACGAACCAATGTTTGGCCGTCGAGCATCGCGATTGGCACTGCAGCTTGCTGGGATTCGAGAGCGGCGTTTCGGTGCACACGTACAGCGATTTGTACCACAACGAGACCTCCGAGTGCATCTGGAACATCTTGGCTGAGCCTATGGATGATGACCATCATTCGGCCCACTGCCGAATTAAGTCCTCCTCCTCCTCCTCGTCGTCGTCGTGATTGCTATGTATACTGGACATCATCGAAATATACAAGCGCGTTAAAAAAGTACAAAAGTTAATAAAACGTATACTGCCTAATACTAACGGCCCAGTTCTACTCGTCAAAGTGAAAACTCTTGTGTTTCTTTTTCTTCTTCTTCTTCTTTTTCCTGTCGCTGCTGTCGCTCTCGAGCTTTGGCTCCTTGTCGGGGTCCATAGCTCGCTTGATGGACGATTTGTGGTACTCGTCGCTGCTGCTGCTCTCGTACAAAGCCAAGAGTCGCCTGCAAGGTTTTGCGGCCTCGGCACCGAGCGATCCTTGATTCACGTTGTCTCCGGAGCTTTTCTTCGTTTTCGCGGGCTTCTTCTGCTTCTCTTTCGTTTTAGTGGACTCTTCGTTCACGTTTTTTGCTGACGGTTTTATTTCATCCTCCAGATCGATGCAAGTCGTTTTGGCCTTCTTTTTCTTTTTTGGAGTAGGGGCCTCTATAGCTTCCTCCGAATTGCTCTTTGACTTTTCTTTTTTACAAGGCACTTCAAAAGTTACCAACTCCGGTTCGTCCACTTCCACCTTCGATTCAAATTTCTCCTCCGAGTTGGTCTTGGCTTTTTTCAATTTTTTCTTCTCGACGACAGGTTCTTCTTCCGCTTCGCGCTTTCTTTTTAATTTTTTATCGTCACAGTTTACATCCACTGCCTTCTTTTTCTTTTCTTTTTTCTTTTCTACTTTTACGTAGTCTTCGTTCGATTCATCAACCACATTCTCCCTCTCCTCGACTCTGTTTTCTTCGTGCTCGTTGCTTATTGCAGCGGAATCTAAATCGTGTCTGGATTTTTTCTTTCGTTTTTTCTTCTCAATTTTAAAATCGTCTACGTTTATCACTTCTGCCACTAATTGTATTTCTTCTTTTTTCTGTACATTACTAACAATTGTGTCAGAATCTACATTATTCTTTGTACTGGATGATTTTTTCTTCTCTTTTTTCCGTTTGAGTTTGGCATCATCTTCGTCCAACCTATCAACGAGTTCCTGTATCTTTTCAGTTTTTCTACTTTTCTTGGTATCATTTACATGTATATTTAGACTCGATGTGCATTTTGAACTAAGCTTTTTCTTCTCTGTACTTGATTCCGGCATTTGTTTTTGAACCAATGTATTTTTATTAGGAACATTAGATTTTTTACTATTATACACAATGTCGTTGGTCCTACTCTTTCTATCATATTTTTCATCTTCACTGGAACTAGAACTGGCATCTATTAAATTTAATTTCTTTAATTTTGAAAGTTTTTGAGCTGCTGTTACTGACATAAAGTGATCGCTAGTATCTTCATTAATGTTATTCGATGCAGTTTTCATTGATGGATTGTCCAATTCTATTACCATGGACTTTTCATCACTTTCATCATCACTTTTAATATCGAAACTAACGTGTTTTAATTGCTTCGATTTGGATTTTTTTTTCGAAAGTTTTTTAGCAACTACTTCACTTTCAGAGCTCGTATTTAGGATACATCTATTTTTTTCTTTTTCAGTCACCTCATTAGATTTCTTGGATGTGTGTTTTTTGCTTTTACTTTTGTTTTCTTCAACAGGTTTCAAAGTTTCTTCTTCATAGCTTTTCATCAAATCCAAACTTTTACATTCTTCTGGCAAATAAATTTTATGTTCTTTAATGTCTATGTCACTATCACATGTATTTTCTTGTCCGTTAGATGCTACACTGTTAACTGCTGAAGGATTTTCATCATTTTTTCTATTTTTTGATTCTTGAATGTCAATTGGTGTTTCCCTGTTCAACTCTGTTTTTTCTGTTTTTTCTTTCTTTTTGCGTTTTTTCTTGTCAACTTTTTTCTTTTCGACATTATGTTGATCATCGTGGGAATCACTAGAATCCAATAAATTAAGTTTTTTTACTTTTTGCAAACACTCTACGGTTTTCAAAGGTACATTCGCATCATCATCACTAGATGGCAGATTCTGAATTGGATGGTGTGGACGTAGACTAAGAGTTTTTTCTTTAGACTTTTTTATCAAATTAAACTTTGCATTTTCATCTGGGACATTAATTTCATGTTTTTTTGTATTTGTATCGCTGTCGCGAATATTTTCGTGAACATTAGATGCTTTATTGTTGTCAGTTGTTAAATTTTTTTTACTTTTTCTTTTGGTGATTAAATTTTGAACATCTTCATTACTCTTAGCATGTTCTTCCTCACTTGATTCAATGTTTTTTAGTTCTAGTTTTTTCTCACTGTTTTTTGCTTTCTTTTCACGTTTGTCACTGTCAACGCATCTATTCTTTTCACTATCACTATGTCCATTTTCCGAATCATTGGTCAACAAAGAAAGCTTTTTTTTTTGCTGAAGGCGCTTTTTGGTTTCAGAGGATCCATCGTTATTTACACTGCTGCCATCATTATCTCTGCTCTTCAAGTTTTCAAGTTTTAAATTCTTCTTTTCTTTTTTCTTGTCTAGTTTTACATTGTCGGCAGTTAACTCAACAAGTTCTTGATTCTCTTTATGTAAGTTAAATAATTTTTTTTGAGATTTCTTTTTCGTCTTTTCTTTACCGTGTATATTCGTTTCAGTTTCTTTCATTACTTCAACTTTTTCTTCTTTTTCTTCGTTAAAATCTGCAATAGAATCTGAACTGTTCAACATATTATTTTTAACCACTGAAACTGCATTTATCGTTTCCGTAACTGTGTCTGTGGTCCTGAAACCAATTTTGTCTTGCTCCGAATCACTTAAATTCCCTTTTAGTTTATTCTCTTCGACTTTTGGATTTTTTGACACTGGGCTTGTCAAAACTAAATTGCTCTTTGATGGTAAATCAGTATTTTTCTTCTTCGAATGTTCTTTTTTTAAAAAGTTATCAATCGTAAACTTATTTTTTACAGACTTTGATTTTTTGACATTTTTAACTTCATCCTTTTTGATCAAGTTTGAACTTTTTTGTTTTTTCTTTTTTATCTCATCATTATTGTTATTTGTTTCTGTTCCTGGCATTCCTTCACATTTTTCTTCTTTCTTTTCGGTACAGTCTGCAATTGGATCTAAATTGTCCAACGTGTTATTTGCAACCACTGAAACTGCGTTTATCGTCTCCATAACTGTATCCACAGCACGTGAACCTTCGATTTCTTTTGGCTTTGTTTCACTCGAATGAACTTTTGTTTTTTCTTCATTGACTTTCGTTTCTTTTTCAGCTGGGATCTCTACTAAATTGTTCTCTAACGCTAAATTAATTTTTTTCTTCGGGAGTTTCTTTTTCGTAAAGTTGCTAATGGCAAATTTATTTTTTAAATGCTTTGATTTTTGAACAGTTTTAGTCACTTTACTATTCATTATTGGTTTTTTATTACTTTGAGATAGTTTAAGAATTTTCGACGTTTCTGTAGTACTTTCAATTTTGTCATTTTTTTCTTGATCGAACTCAATTATGTTTTCTTTACTTGACTCTTTAGATTTTTCGATTTTTTCTATAACAACAGTAATTTTTAAAACTTCGTTTTTATTGCACGCTTCTTCAATGGCATTAAAAATCTTTTGTTTATTCGATTCCCCAAATATTTCTAATTTTGTAATGGACTTTCGACCTTTTAGTTCAAGCTCCGAGTGATGGCTATTTTTAGAATTTCCGTTCACATCAAATGATAAGTAAGACTTAGTTCTGCCGTCACTAACCTGAGAGTCATTTTCATGATGTTCTTTCTCGATGGCGCTGATTACTTGTTCATATGATTTCCCAGATATTTCTGATTGCTTTAACACAGAATTTTGATGGTTTACATTCCGTGCCATGCATTCATCATCTTTGGGATCCACATTATTATTCAATAAAGATGTCTGAGATTCAGACGAGCTAGAATCATCTACATTTTCATTATTTTTTTCTTCAGCGACACTCAAAACTTCTTTGCTATGTTTTTTAGAAATTTTCGCTTTAGTAACTGAAGGAGATGTATGTCTAGATACATCATTTAATAGAGATGTCTGAGATTCAGACGAGCTAGAATCATCTACATTTTCATTATTTTTTTCTTCAGCGACACTCAAAACTTCTTTGCTATGTTTTTTAGAAATTTTCGCTTTTGTAACTGAAGGAGATTTCATAAGTCTAGATACATCTGTAGTGCATTTATTATTTTCTAAATCGTTTTCATTCAATGAAAGTTTGGAGGTTTCAATTGTAACATCTTGATCTTCGTTTACGGAACTCTTTTTTCTTCGTGCAACAATTGATGCAACGGGCCTAATGTTAACTGTGAAAGATGGGTCCTCATTAATATGATATAATAAAATGGATTTAATAGTTTTAGAGAATCTTGATGTATACTTACAAGCTTTAAATGCAGTTTTTGATTTATCACTAGTTTTAAACAAACATGAAAGAGTGGGACTAGCATATTTCTGAAATGCTTCGTATTTGTCATCTCCCAGCGTCAACGTGGTTTTTGAAAAAGAAAATGGTTTGTTTTTTAAATTTTTATCAAACACCTAAAATATAAATAAAAAAATACATCAATTATATTGGCAACGTCAAATGAAAATTTATTAGTCTGTGAACTAACGTATTTAGGAACATCAAGAAGAAATATTTCATGGTCATCAGAGGAAAAGTCTTGCAAGGACACTGTGGACGTACAAATCCCTTCTGATAAATGGTCTCTTTCTACAAGCTCAGATATCTGAAATATATCAAAACAATGTATATACCTAGATAAAATCGGAGTTTAACTTATCCAATGCAATTGATATATTTTAGTTCTTACCTTAGTTATTTTTTTTCGCTTTAACTGTTCCTGATTCAACGGTATTTCTTCGTCTTCAGTTTCTGAACTCTTACCAGACTCTGATGCAGCAGTAGAAGCTTTATTAACACCATTCCTTTTTTCTGTCAAGGAAATTTTTTCAGATGATGGAAACATTTCTTCTGATTCAATATTTTGAATTTCTTTAATACTATCTGTTATACCTGACTGTTTACGAGAATCTTTATCGTTTAATGTGAGGGACTCTCTTGATTGCTCAGATGTTTTTTTCACAGGTGATTTTGAAGGTTTTGATTGTGTGGATGTATCTTGGATTGGGTTATTAGATTTTGATAGAGTTAATATGAACGATTTATCAGAACTGGAGTCACTAAAATGTGGTTGAATCTTCGATGTATTCTTTTCAGAAGTTTTAGATGCGTTACTTGATTTGGAAACACTAGAATCATCAGATTCTGCATCATGCACAGTCTGTTTTTTGTCATCTTCATAATCTTCGTTGGAACTAAGGCTTTTATCTAATAAACTTAAATTCCTGTACTGTGAAAGTCTTTTGGATGCACATGTTGACTTAGACTTATCACTATCACTGTCACTATCACTTGTGTCGTCCAATTTTTTAGTAACATCCATTCCAACTGACTGGTTCATTTGCTCAGGAGTTTTGGATTTTGGTGTGTCGGATTCATCTGAATCGGAGTAACTATCATAGCGTTGTTTCTTATCCGGTGTAATTTTTTCTTTAATTTTACATTCGTTACTTTTTTTGGAGGAACTATGTTCTTTAGACCTGGAATCATTCATAGGTGATTTTTCATTATCTGTTTTGTCTTTAGTCGAGTTGATACTATGTTCGGCCAAACTTAACCTTTTACGACGTAATATTTTGTCAGCTCCTGACGACGACGATGACGACGACGTGGATTGATCATTATCATCGTTGTCACTTTCATTACCGGATTTTTCCATAATATCTATTTCACCTCGCTGCTCATAAGAATTTTTACTATTTACAATACAATCATTTCTTTTGGTGTCATGCTTTCCTGCACAGTGTTCAAGTTTCTGTTTTGTAGGTGATTTATGAACTTGTGTAGAGGTCGCCAGTGGGACTGGAATTTTAGATTTTGATACGTTAGATAAATCTGAATCCGAATCTGAGTCACTTTTATCTACTGATTTTTGAGTCAATACACTTTTATCCAAACTTCTAGATCTACCATTATTAATTGTGGACACATTAGATTTTTGAGATTGTAAGTCATGCATGGCACGTTTTTTCTCATCTTCTTTGGCTTTGTTTGGCCTAATACCATCATCTGATGAACTCGAATTTTCATGCTGTAAAAGTTTTTTAGATTCTGATGTTGACACGTAATTATTGCCGTTCATACAACCATTTCTACTACTTGATGGTTTAACTGAATCTTTGTTGATAAATTCTTTTTCATAATTTTTCTCATCATCATTTTCATCACTCTTGTCAATGAAATTGTTCAAATTTATATCTTGGGAAAACCCATTTGCAACTACTACAGTTTCTTTAGCTGGATTGTTGGATGATATACCACATAAAATTGGCAAACAATTTGCATGTTGTTCAATGTCACTATCATCACCATTTTTGTTTGCATCTGATATTTTGCTAATATCTGAAACACTGCTTTCCCTACTTATTCTTTTCTTTAATCTCGGCACAATATTTTTTTTACTACTTTTATTGTCTGATTCTTCACTGCTGGATCCATAATTTTTTGATACTGTCGTTTTTTTAATGTATTTTTTCTTTTTAATCTTTGTACCACCTAAAACAAGACTTTGTCTTTCATTACTTACACCAATTTCAGATTCACTGATGTCCCACAAATTGAGTTTTTTTGCTTTTTGTAAATTCTCTATGGTTTTTAAGGATACATTGTTATGGTCATTGTCTATGCTATCATTACTACTGTCATCAGTGACATGTGTTTTGTGTATAAGAGAATTTTTTTCAGAAACAATTAACTCCTTTGGGTGAAAATTCATTTCTTTATTTATCCTGGTTTTTGGTGACATACTATCTACATCAACTTGAGTGTGATGATCTCCTACTTCGTCTCTTCCATGTTTTTCATCAGAATTTTCACTTGTTGAAATATTATCACTTGCAGAGATTTTATTTCTTTTGACTTTCTTTGACTGCGTTTTTAGTACTTGAGTCAATTTTTCGGACTTTTGAAAAGATTCTGCATTCATATTTGAATCTGATTCAGATCCCTTTGTACTGTTTTCTTTAATCAGTTTGTTTTGTACCAAGGTATCATACTGCTGCTGTAGGAGTGGCGATTTGCTTTCTGCCAACATTTTTTTAAATTGCTGTAATTTCTCCATGTTCTTTAAACATTGATTTTTGGTTGTTTTATCTTTATCACTACTTATTTTTTCAAAGTTATGTAAACCATAAGATTCGTCACTGTTGTCTTGGATGCTACTTTTTTTATTTACTGCATTCAAAGATTTCGTGTATTTTTCATCATTATTTTTATAACTTTCAGATTTCTCGTCTACCAAATCATATAAACTTTTACCAGCAACTTCAAAAACGTTTGTTTTCTCTTTTAGTATTTTATTTCTGTCATTATTTTCTACTATTTTGTACCTTTTGGATAATTTTTCTTCCCCAATAATTTTTAATAGATTTTTACTGGGCACCTTGATGGGCCCGTCTCGGCCAATGATTTCACGTTTAGGTTGATTATTGTCAATTTTATTTTCTGTACTTTTTAATTTTTTATCAACAGTTTTATACTTGGCGTTATCATCTGCTACGTCTTCATCGATGCCGGAATCTTTGGGTTGATTCAATTCTTTGGGGACATCAAGTGGAGGTTTCAATGCCAAACTTCTTCTGTTGTGGATATTTTCCGATAACGTGTCAGAAAATATTTTTGTACTTTGAGCTTGAAAGTCACGAGGAATAAATTCATCCGACGATTCGTCTTCCTCTTCAGTTAAAAACTTTGACGAGGCCGTATCTAATTCAGTTGCCAAATTTCTTTTGACATTGCTTGGCAACTTTTTGCTTACTATTTCTTTCTTGGCTTTGTCACTTTTTTTTGAAATATCTTTAATTACATTCTCATTATCATAATTGTCAATTGTAATACCACAATCATCACCTGCAAAAGTACTTGATATTGGTTCACTAAATCTTGTATCCGATTTTGGACTTTCAATCAAATAATCCTCGTCTTTGTACTCTTTTAAACCTTTTTTTTCAACATGAATCCATTGAAAACACTCATCATTCTCATCATCAGATTCAACTTTGGTATTTACACAAGAAGGAAGAGTAACATTATAAAAATTTTCATAGACACTATCATTATCATCATCATATTCACGTTCATCGGTCACATCTTCATTTTCTGCGACCCTTTTAAGAATTTTTTTCTTCTGTTTGACGAAATCTTTGTACTTCCGGATTTTATAAAAGTCTTTAAACTTTCGGTTGAAAAGTTTTGTACTTTTACTAACCTTGACTTTTGACGATAACTTGTGTTCCAGTGAATTATTTTGAATACGTTCAGTTACTGTGTTAGGAACGACATGCCAATAAAAATCATTGTCAGTGACCATTGTTCGAACAATTTTACATTTAGCACTGGTAAGTACACCATTCGTTTGGAGAATTTCTGTAAACAATAACAAGGAAAGTTATTCAAGGTGACACTTGATGTAAAAATTATATGCAAAAGTAGTTTTCGAAAGTGTACAAAAATCAAAATGAGATTTTATATTAAAATGTGTTTAATTTTATTACGAATATTAAACTTAACTAACCTCACTTTCTGAATAAGTTTCTTGCTGTTTGCCACAGCGAAGTTGCAATGTTTACGAGTACAGACATGAAAAATGAGTAAACATAAGAAATACTAGCTTTTGTTAGTGGCAAAAAATTTTTCTTCACTGTTTTGATGTAATGAGCATTGGAAAAACGGCGTGATTGTTTCCATTTTGGAGGCTTATAACGTGCTGAGGACATGAGTTAAAATAGTTTTTAAAAAACGGTTTAAAATAATAACAGCAAAAGTAACATTGCCGGCAACTAATGATGCAGATTTTAGATGGTAAATATAGCTTTAAGTAACTCGAAATGTTAAACGTAAAATTGCTAGAAGTGCCACAGAACACGATGTATGTAAATGTAAATAATAAGCTTTGCTTTGAGGCTGAAAGTTTGAACGCTATAAGCTTAACTGAATTGAAATGACGGTAAGCATTACATTATATTAAACTAAACACGTGTTTGATCGTACTGTCGACCGACCGTCCGTGACCGAAAATGCCGAAACTGAACTAAACCAGACTAAACTCTCGATCTGCTCTGCGGGGAGTGTAGGACCTACTACTATTTACACCTACTACTTAGGACGAGATGGGAAAAGAAAAGTGAGCAATGAGCACATAAAGCAATTTAGCAAATAAAAGGGAGGCATAGGTGTAATGATGCTTAGGACAACATGGTAAGTATGTAGCTTATAAATACACAACATTTTGATAAAGTTACGCAAATGTATTTGGTATTTTGTTGAAAAATTGTGAAAATAGTAAAATGCATAAATTGATAACTTGATTAAATTATTTAATAGTATTACTTTCAAAGTTTACCATCTATTATACAAGTAAGTTCTTAATTAATTAGTTAGAATGAAAACAATATTGATAGTACGTTTAGACGTTTAACTGTAAATTTTAAATACAATCACACATAAATTGTCATTATAATAATAGAAAAAAAAAAAGAATAAAAAATAAGTTATTTTTGTTTGATTAACGAAAACCGCTAGTGAAATTCATAAGATTTCTTCAGCGCACGAAGAAACAAAAAAGTGATTGCGCAACAATCAAATCCATAAATCGACAAATCTTTCAATTATACTCTAAGCTTTTTTGGACGGTGCCTTTTTAGATATGGCTTTTTTCTTGTCAGTAGACTCGGTCTTCTGTTTCTTATTGGGCGAGGAGTTTTCTTTGGCCACTTTCGTAGTTTTTTTCTTGACGGGTTCCTTCTTCTTCTCTTTGGGTTTTTCGGATGCGATCTTCTTCGGCTTGGGCTTTAGTTTCAGCGGGGCGGCCAGCACCGGTACCTTCTTTGGCTTACTCTGGAGCGGAAGCTTGAAACGACTCCCCGAAGATGCTCCGACACCCTCCGTGCGCGTTATCCATCCTTGACGTTCACCGTCAACTACGACCTTTGCCACGTTCTTCAAACGCTGTTCTGTTGGCTCCAAGTGCGCCATCATGTATTTCTTGATGGCAGAAATCGTCGAGCCTTTGCGCTCTTTTAAAGCACCGAGTGCATTTACTACCATTTCTTTGGTGGAAAGGTTGTGCTGAACAAAATAAAAACAAAAAATCGTCAGTTAAACATCGCAGGTACTTAATAAACCATAATTCAAAATAATAGAAAATGCCGGCAATGCTATTTCTCTTTTGAAGTTGTTATGAAAAGCTACCATGGACAAACGTGTCAAAACTTGCAAACGATTACTCTTGCTCGTCTAAAACACGGTCGTTGCTTTAAATTTCCTTTGCCTTCGAGGACAACGAAAAAAAATTTAAAAACCAGATGTGCATTTTAGGCAATGATGTCTCTAGAAAAGTCAAGATATAAATGCAAATGTGATTTCTTTTTAGAAATATGACCGTGCACGAAAACGCCATTTTTAAAACAAAAGCGAAATGTTCGTGTTGACGAATCGAAGCTAATTATATTTACAACTTATTAGTTTGTCCGTTATTAGACTATTAATCGTTGTGCAAACTAAATTTTTCACAATTATGCGACATCTAATAAATTCGAACTTGCAAAAAAACTGCTTCCCGATCGAGTCAAAGCCACGATAATCCGGAATACAAATAAATTTCTAAACGCCAAATGAACTCACCTCCATTGTTTTAGAAGAGGAGACTCTAGCTTTGTCGTTGGTAGATTTAACTGATGTTGACGTGCCCTGCTCCTGCACTTTATTTCGAGGTTTGAGCGTGATTTTTGCTGTCGCGGCTACCAATTTTTCAATGGGTGATGTGCCGTCCGGAATCGCTGCTTCACTGCTACTGCTGATGACTTCGGAATCGGAAATATCGGAATATTCGGATTCGGAGGAGGCGCTTTTCTTCTGATTCTTCTGCAACGACTGCAACTTCGATTTGGACGGCGGCCGCGGCGGCGCCGGCAACTTCTTTTTGCTGGCTTTGCTGCTACTTTCTGCTGCTGCTGCTGCTGCTGGTGCAGGGGGGACTTTGTTTACAACTTTGTTGACTTTTTTTGCAGGAGCCGCTTTTGGCTTTACTCTCGGAGGGCTCTCCTCTTCCTCGTCACTGTCTTCTTGTTCGAACGATATGTGTTTTGGTTTTAAATTGTAAGTTTTGGGATCTGATATTTCATTCAACAAATTCGAGACGGTATAATTATTGTCGTTGTCACTACTATTACTCCTATCGGAAGCATCAGAATCAGAATTAGAACTCAAGTCCAAGCCACTCGATTGCATTGTTATTTTTTCAAAAACTTTTTTTAAATGAAAAACTGCAAAACAAATTAATTTCAACTCTCTCACAATGATAGTAAAACGTAACAAGACAGTGATGAATTATGACTACCGAGGGTAAAGGCTAAACACCGTCAATATTAGCAAGATAATAAAGTGTGTGTGTTTGTTTGTTTATACTTACGTTAAGATTCTAACATTTATAACTATGAACTTTGAAAGTCCCAAGGTAAAACTCTAAAGTAGTTTCTAGTTAATTTACCTAACGGTCAGCGTGTCAACATTTATTTTCGAAACTAACAGGGTACTTAAAGAGAAAAAATAAAACAAGAAAACATTAATTTGAATTTTGTAGGACATTTATTATTCTTTTTTTTTTTTTTTTTTTTTTTTGTTTAAAATCTTGCACTATTTTTAGCACAATTTTTAGTATAAAAATACAATCTACCACACAATAGAAACGAATTACATAGTAATTAATATATGGTAGATTTGTCAATCATTCATTCATTACTTACGATGAATAAATGTTTTTAGGAAAACTTTGTTGATAATCAACAACATAGGAAAAAAACTTTAAAAGTATTTCCTACTATAATAACTTCTAAAATGAGTAAGAATCGTATATGCATGAACAATATTAAAAAAAAAAAAAAGAAAAAAAAACAAATTTAACAATTTAAAAAACTATGAAGATAACGACTTCTTTATTGTGATATCTTAATAAATTGGCTCATACAATAACTTATCCATATAAAAACATGCTATTAACATCCTTACATTTTCTTGATGTCTGTCTCACACTCAACCATATTATATCACGTTTCATGTTTCAGTGGGTATTTATTTCCCAAGAGTCACTTCCACTGCTGTTAGTTATTGAAGAATGTCTACTGAGTTGTGGCAGCTCAAAGTGCCATTTGGAATTTTCGTCCACTTCCAAAAGGTTAATACTTTCATTCTTTAAAAATGGAGGACGTGCTTTAATACCAAGAGTTGTTGGTCGTTTTTCAGGGTTTTCATCTAGCATCATTTTCAACAACTCATACTAAAAAAAAAAAAATAAATAAAAAGGTTGATTTAATTGTACTTTGAGAAACTACATTAATGATTATTACTTGACAAAATTTACCTCTGCAGGATACTGCAGGGAAAAGTTTTCCGGAAAAAGAGATTTCCTCAGATTAGTTAAAGCAATAACTCTCTCCATTTCTGTTGAAAAAGGAATCAATAGCTCAAATAAAATAATCCCAAGAGAATAAATATCCACTTTGTAATTATAATTCTTTTCATTCATTTGCTCTGGAGACATGTAAAGATGAGTACCAACGCGTGCAGTATGCACACGCTTTATAATGCACATTTCATTGGAATCACAAGGTGTGTGAACACCATTGATTCCTTCAGTCATTGCGGTGACCAGACCAAAGTCACCAATTTTAATTTTGTTATCAAATGCGAAAAAAATATTGGATGGCTGCAATAACAATAGTAATGATATTAATGATAGTAAAAAATTGTTTCAACGACTAGGAATAATATTGTGATTGGAATTGCAAAAGCACCTTTAAATCACGGTGAATCAAACCCTGCAAGTGGACGTATTCTACAGCATCAACAATTTGCTCAAAAATATTCAAAACTTTTAAATTATTGCGCAGAGAATTCTGAGTTTTGAGCCAATCCCTTAAACTCAATCTTTGACACAATTGCATCTGTATATACAAAAACATTTTCGCGTTCGACTTATTGCTGTCCTTTCGTTTCCTTAAATTTAAGTTTAATTGCGACCTTCTTTCCGCGAAATCTGTACGTTTGGAATTTCCAAATGCAATGGAATGACTTGCTTTACTGAGCGTGTGATTGGAATCTGTAAATATGACGGAGTGACTTGCATCACTTTGCTTTAAATCCATGTGCTCGGTTTCTTCAAATATAACTGAGTCACCTTCCTTGCTACTCTTGTCTTCCTTACCATTATGCGATATCGATAGATGCACACTCTCTGTATTCCTCGGCTCAATGCTGTCTTCATTTTCACCTTCTGTATCTTCATCGTTTGAAGGTGCATCAAAAACAATAAAAGAATCGTCGTTGTCTTCATTCAGCTCCAAAGCTTCACGTGCGCTGTCAACAGATGAAGGATTACTGGGTGGTACTTCAATATGAACCGACGAATCAACAGCCGATGATTCCGACGTGAAATTCGAGTCGGGAAACTTTTCGTGATTTGACCAGCGTTGGTCGTGTTCTTCTTGCCACCCTGCCGGTGGACATTCCAACCACGCACTGAAATAGCGAACGATGTTGTGATGATCCAGTTTAGCCAGAGCTTTTACTTCCCTCATGACTCGCTCTCGAGAATATTGACTAGAATAAGATCGATTAATTCATGAAAACCACAAAAAACAGTTTGCTAGACATACAATTGAGAATCTGTATTACATACCTATTGGGTAAGGCAATTCGTTTGATCGCATAGTTACAATCGTCAAGCTTATTTCTGGCTTCGAATACAATACCGTAGCCTCCACGACCTAGGCAATCGAGGGGTTCGTAATCAGTCAAATAACGTGATTTAAAATTGTCATCGCTATCTTCGGATTGGGATAAGCGAGCTTCATTTTGTGGATCAACAACATGCCGCTCAACAATCAAAGGCTAAAAAAATATTCAATAGTGTGAAAAATATAAACATCATTTGAAAAAATAAAATGAGTTATCGGTAATATTTACTGGAGCAATGGCATCTTTGGCGTTTGAATATAAATATTTCTGTGACAATATACAGTGGACCACAAAAGCAGTAGTTACAGAAATCATTAATATTTCAAACCTGTAAACAAATGTCATTAATATTTATTTGGTTAAGCAGTTCTCTCCTCACTTTACGCTAAATTCAACTCACCAGTAGTACCAAATAGAAACGTATATAACTTGTATGGATGTCGCAGCTTCTAAATTTTCTTCTAATGAAGGTTCTGAGATGTTTTCTAATATATCTTTAGGTCCAGTTCTATTACAATGACTGCCTGCATCTAGTTGCATCTGTTCTTTAGAATATAAGAAAAAACCATTTCCTACAAAGCATATTGCCAAAAAAAGGAAAGAAAAAAGAACTGTATTAGTATTAGCTGCATGAATATAATTTTTTTTTTCGATTGTCCCGACCTACCATTCACATACTCTGAATTGTACAGAACAGACATGGCTGTTGTGCTACGAATTTCACTCATTTCGGTTTTGATATTTTCGTTATCATACTCAACATCTTTGGAAAACTCTTTAAAAAATTAAACTTATAAGATATTTTTCTTGAACCAAGGCATAAAAAAATGCACCATGCAATTAAGTTTTCACTCAAACACGATAAAAGATTAAGTAAACTCTTTTTCAAACATGGTCACATTTTTACTAAAACTAAAATAATAAATTACTTACCAATAGTGGGATATGGGCGCCAAGGATAATTGATCAATTTTGTATCAGAAGCTGTCAAATCAACAGCTTTTCTGAAAATTGGATTTTCTTGTATATACAACTGTCTTTCATGCATACCTATGTATAAACCTGGATTTATGGTGAACTCTGAACCTATGTTAGAATCCAAAATTGAAGAATCGAATAAGTTGACTGCTTTTAAAGGCGTTATTTCATTTGAAAGTACTTGATCTTCCCTCCAAACTGTTACCACTGGCGAATCAAACTAAACAATTTTAATTTTTTTATTTTCATGCAATTTATAAGATTTTCACATTAACAAAAAATGAATATTTATTAATTACCTTGTATTCCCAAAGTTTTACAGTGGGATTGTCTTTACTGAAAGCAGCAATAAGCCCTTTTGGAATAATAGCACGAATCTCTATTTCTAATGTTACAGATGGAGTTTTTTCATCGTTGCAATCAATATTTGCGCGAGGTATTATTGTCAAATCGTGTTGTCCTACACTGAAGTTCCACCTAGAGATTCAAAAGTAATAATGTCGTTATTATTATTACTACTACTACAATTTAAACAATAAACTTTAAAAAAAAAAAATAATTCACCTTGATCCTATTTACAATACAATTGCTAATTGACATAAATTAAAATTTATATACCTTTCAACTCCAGATCTAGGTTCACTAGCTCTGACAGTATGCTGATGACGTCTAACAATTAAAACATCTTCTTCTACTAAATTGTCTTTCTCAGTAGAATTGACACAACTGTTTATTTTACATTCATACAATATTTTACCAGTTGAAGTAATTATTCCTGTAGGATAAGAAAATAAGTTAGAGATAAATAATTTGATAAATATAATTGACGTTTTTGAGAACAAGTGCTTACCGTATGTTTTAGTTTCTTTACCACCTGAAAATATTAAATCATCGGAATATCTGAAGGATGATTGTAAAAGTTGGTCCATTGACACAGGAACAGACTCGAGATTTTCACCATCAAACTTGTACAAGCCACCATTCAGAGTAGGGATCAATCTTACCCACTGACCATTGTTATTTAGCTAAAATTGTTATAACGAAATTTTATATAGCTTTCAACATATTTCAATTTTTTTTTTTTTAATTTCATACACAAAGATTACTGTAAATGTGCCTACATCTCTTTGGTGAATATTAGATGAAAGTAGAGGTTCTTCTTTGAAATCTAGTGACCAGACTTTTTGGCCTTGTTGCGAAGTATCTAAAGCTGTAAGTTTTCCATCCAGAGTACTAACAAATAACAAACTAAAAGAGAGTTTATATTAGCGTTTTTTTAAAAACGTCATAATATAATATAAACTATTATAAGCCAATTTTCTACTGTATTGCAATGTAAACAAGCCAATAAGAACTAAAAAAAAGTTCCAATGAGGTAAACTGAATAAAGCGCGCCAATGACTGGATGACTCATACTCGGCTGAGGGCAAAGTGGTTTTGTGTATAACGATTTCCGGAAAATGAGTTTGAATGAATACAAAAAAAAGTATTCCTTTAATTGTCGAACTAATAAAAGTTGACACATAAAAGATGGACAAAACAAGAAAAACATGAAGATGTACTCATTTATGCAGCTCAACCAACTGTAATGGTGAATTTTGGAGTGCTGGTATCTAGCTGAATCTGCTCATCCTTGTATGCAAGTGTGTGTGGTCGTATGGATGTGTGCTTATATGCACACAGAGAATACTTTGAGATTAAAAGTAACGTTCATCAAATGAATTACATCAGCGCACATTAGCTATACTTAACGACGGCTCGTTCGACACGATTTGTATTATCATCGCAAAACAAAACAACATAAAAATCAAACGAAAATAGCTTGGACTTTGCAGTTGTTTTAGTAGGCGACAGCATTACAAAAAATAACAATCACGAGGCGTTGGAATAAGAGAAACGAGTTGCTACAACATTATAATTTACCTCCGCGATGGCTTAGCTTCCGTGGAGTCCTTGCAGAAGGGCAACTGCCTGATTTCCGCAGCAATGCCGAACAAACAGCACTGGATCAGCAAAAGTATCAGGCCGGCTACGAATCGACTCATCTTGGTTGCAATTTATTTGACCTTGACGTCGGTTCTGCGGTTTTATTGCTGCAGGTTTCATGAACGGCTAGTGCTGCGCGATAATATCTTTGTATGGCAACTATAGGTGCAGGTGGACCAGCAGAACTGGTGACCCAGCTGCTGCTGATGCATTTTTTTTGGCTTGTCAACTGCGATGAGGCGTCAGCCTTGCAGATTGAAAAAACGATAAAAAAACTTAACAATAACACTGGGTAAAAACGCGCACGACACAGAACACCGTCACCCTTGGTCACCCGGGATACAGTACGTGCAGGGACCACAGGTGACGAACGAATCGCTAGGTCCCGGGCGATCCTAGGTTGTACGGTACGACGTTCACTAGGTATAGTTCACACACGACACACGACAGTTAACTGGATAACAGCAGGACGGGCTGTAAATAAAATAAATTTAACTACGCAGGCGCAAATACACGTCAGTGCATGTTTTTTTGGCCTTTTCTGCAATCTGCTGTCTGCTCCGCGGAACGGCTTTGCATCTCTCTCTTCAAGGCGGCAAAGATTTTTGTAGAATGGCGGAATGGCCCTCCGCAATGTTATGCATTTGAGGCGGGAATATTTAATATTAAGTATTGGTAATGGATGGTAATGTAAGAATGTTTTTCATGGTACTTCTTCAATTTTTTAAATAAGTATGTGAACTGAATCCTAAACTCTTTCACAGTTCTATTGCTCCTCCTGCAGTTCCACCATCATTCAATATTTTCAGATATATTAAAGCCATTAGGGTTTAATGATAATGAACCAATGTTTTTCACGTTATTTTGGTAAAAAAGTTGAGTTTATTATCGATTATTTAGATATCTTTTGAATACAAAAAGTGACAATTCGAAAGTTTTCACTTTCTCGAAGACTAATACAAGTTATAAAATGAGAGGTTGAAAAATAGTAAAAAATTAAGACAAACGACGTAACTTACATGGCGCGTTAATTTAACAATTGCTACTTACATTTTCTATAAGATCACCTAAATTAACCATAGTAAATCATATCAACACAAAGATAAATAAAAAAATAGTCGCCTATTCGTTGATCACCTTCTCTAAGTGGCTCTTTAATACTTTCAGCTGATGTCTGGTTTCCTCGTCCAATACGAGATTCTCCGAGAGAGAAGCATTGAACGGCAGCAGAGACACAATATCACCGTTTCGTAGTGGCACATTGACGTTGGCCGTTCTCTCGCTAACAGTCGTAGAGACGAGGAGTGGACTGCCCTGGGTACTGAATACCATCTCGCCATTCTTGGGCCGTCGTAGCACGTTGACGGCCGAGTTGAACTTAATTTTCGGAGTAATAGTAAAGCTGTTGGTCGGCTTGTTCTGGGGCGTCTTTAGCATGTCCAGTTGCCTTTTACTCTGAGACGGTGTACGGATGGAAGGCTTCGTCAGCTTATCTCGGGACTGAGTACTCCTCGACCTGCGCTGCTTCTTGGCCTCGGAAGGCCCAAGCTTGGATTGGCCATTGGTCATTGGCTCGCTCTGGTAACCATCGTCGGAGGTCACCGTCGTGCGCTTTGTACCGTTGCGCTTGACAGTGCTCTTGGGCAATCGGCTGGAGGACTTAGCCACCGTTCCCGGCGTCTTAGGATGCAGGTTCTCCTTTTGAGGACTTGGCTCGAATGTCATAAGTTCATCCAGTGTCATGGTTTGGATTTCAGTGGGAAAGCGGTTCAAGGCCATTTCGATCATCATGTCGAATTTTTCCTGCCTGCTTTTATGCTCCACTTCAAGCTGGTGGATTTTGAGCTGGATGAGCCTGTTGCAGTTACGTATGACTTCCTCGATATCGGTGCCGTTGCCACGGCCTGCTCGTCTCTGCTTTGTGCGAGGCATTTTGGTCGTTACTTACACGTCGACAATTCCTACTGCTGTTATTTTTGGTTGATGTTACTCGACAACCATTCGGTATCAATCGGATCGGACGGCCTGCACTGTCTTCGCCACTATAGTGGTTGTGTTGTTGTTGTTCTGTACCTGCAAGAAGACAGTTGATAGGTTAAATATCTTTCGTGCACTCGTACGTCTACCAATAAATTTAACTTATATCCATGATTGCTCTATTGAATCAACAAAAATTCACGTAAACACTGACACTTTATCGGATGCTGGATTCAGTTGAGCTTAGATGCAGAAATAGGATTTTTTGATTTAGATTTATTAGTTAGTTTTTAAATGTTGTGAAAACAAACACATGAAAATTCTGACCGGAAAATTGGCTCAACTAACACAATATGCCTATCAACGGTCTCTTTCAGCTGTTCAAAAATGCCCATTGAGCACATGCAAGACGCAGACGCAAGACAACAAACGCATCCCCTCCTCTTTGGGTAAGTTCCCATAGGAAGTCAGATTCGAGATTCGATATGAAAATGCGGCAACGCTGCCGTCACAGAACGTCAAGTATGGTATGGTATATTGGGGGACCAAGATTGGGCGGCCACAAGAGAAGGTTGGTTCTCATTGGCGGTTTTCACTTTTGTAAATTATTATATTATTAATATAGAAAATTGAATTAAAACATATTCTCGTATGTTTAATTATACTTCGTTTCCTTGTTCGAAGATATTTACTGGTAGTACTTCTACTATACCCAGATGATGCCACCCAATCCGACCCAATCTCGGCTACACCAAACATACCTGTTTTTTAAATCTGACGGCAGCGTTGCCATTTACATGGCGAATCTGCAAACTTTTAGAACGCACCTTAGGGATACCCCCTATCTATTGTGTCGACCCCTCTTCATGTATATATAATAATGCACTATATGTTAATTTAAATGTCTAGCCTATACCTATATCCTTTCGGAGCATTTACAAATTCTAAAAGGCGTCGTCAGCTGCAGCCGCTGCTGATGATAAAAAAGAGGAATTATTTTTTATTTTGATAAAAGATAAGTAAGAATACCCTGCCTGTCGCGTGTATGTATACAGAAATTCAATGTTCTGGCTGAGGTAAAATATGCCTATTCTCATTCAAAGCGCAATTGTATTATTTTTTTATAACAAATAGCCATACTCGCTGTCCAAGTAGTATTTTGTGAGTTTATCTTTTAATGGTGCGAAGATGGTGATTTTCGTAGCAAAGAAAGAAATTTTTTGTGCATGAGCAGTTTTCTCATTTTGCTCTGCGTGCAAACTGTGTACGGCAAATTATTTTTTAAGGAAATGCAGCAGACGATATAACCTTTGAAATATTTATAATATAAAAAATAAATATTTATGATCATTGCAAAATGGTAAGTATAACGATGTGTGCATTTATTTGAATTGTTCTGTTACACGTGTTGTATAAACAAGCTTCGTTTTTAGAAGTAACAGCTTAGTTAAAAGTGAAATAATGTTTTTTGTTCATTCAAGGCCATTCCAGTAAAGGATGTGACATTGCCCAAAGAAATTCCAGAATTATTGTTAGAAAAACATGCCAGCTACCTTCTTTCCTATGGAATGAATAAGGAAGATTACGTGAGTTTAAAACTGAATGATGCAATCACACCAAAGTTTGGCAGGCTTTAATGACTCTTTTTTTTTCTTTCAGATCTATTGTATGACTGAGCATCTCAGAGTTTCTGGAATGTATTGGGGATTGACTGCACTAGATCTAATGGGCTACTTGGAAAAGACGAATAAAGAGGAAGTCTTGGAGTTTATTAAAAAATGTCAACATGACTGCGGTGGAATAAGTGCAAGTATCAGTCATGATCCACATGTACTTCACACGCTTAGTGCTATTCAGATTTTGTGTATCTATGATTCCCTTGATGTTATTGACATTGAAAAAGTTGTAAAGTACATTAAAGAAAGACAACAGCCTGACGGAAGCTTCACAGGCGACATATGGGGTGAAGTAGACACAAGATTTTCATTTTGCGCCGTTGCGTCTTTAGCTCTATTGGTAAGTAATTTGTTAATTTTAGTACTTTACAAAGTATCACGATAAATTGAACGAAATATGGTTTTTTCAGAGACGTCTTGACGCAATAAACGTTGATAAGACTGTTGAATTCATAGTAAGTTGCATGAACTTTGATGGTGGTTTTGGTTCTAAGCCTGGCTCTGAAAGCCATGCAGGTTTAATTTACTGTTGTCTTGGAACTTTGTCTATAACTGGTAATAAGTATACTCGTTTTTATTTTTCAAACCTTTAACTTACTTATTATTTTTACCCTACAAACATTCTTTTTTTTTTTTTTAGGCCACTTACATTTAATAGATCCAGTAAGATTGAGCTGGTGGCTCTGTGAAAGACAATTACCCTCAGGAGGTCTAAACGGAAGACCAGAGAAACTGCCAGACGTGTGTTATTCGTGGTGGGTCCTTTCCTCAATGTCAATTTTAGGATGTCTACATTGGTTCAATAAGCAAAAATTGGTAACTATAGCGATTCAGAAATCTAGAGATACCATTAGAAAAGGTTGTTGACAAAATGCTTTTGTATTTTAAATTCACAGATAGAATTCATTCTCTCTTGTCAAGACACAGAAACCGGTGGATTTAGCGATAGGCCAGGTGACATGGTCGATCCTTTCCACACATTATTCGGTTTGGCCGCGGTATCCATGCTAGGTGCTGACAAAACACTAAAAGAAATCAATCCTACGTTCTGCATGCCAGAGTATGTGATACAACGATTAGGCTTGAAGCCAGAGCGCCTAGCCGACCAGTAAAATTGTAATTTATAAACTGAAAAGACAATTTATCCCAATTGTAAGATTGACCATGATGATAACGAAAATCATTGCAATAATAAAATATTCATTATATATTTCATAATTTGATTTTTTTAAAGTGTTGTGGTGGGGCTAGGGAAGGGGGTTGGAAGAAGTACATTTTTAAGTAATTAACTAATTTATTGTTTATTTTATGTAATAATGATGTATGTGCTATCAGTAATCATAGTCAATGATTGCTGAACTGATCTCGACGTTTTGACAATGATTGTTTACCAAATATTTAATACTAAAGTTTATTAACAATACACGTTAATCGCTTGCTTGCTGTTATTCTTCTGCTTGCGCTACCTCTCGTTACAATATTTTTTTTTATGCGTCTATCAGCCTCGCTCGTACATGCGATTAGAAATAGAAACGTGGCGTATAGAAATCCCTTTGATTTATACAATAATCGACATTTTCTTTTATTTGTTAATTTCATTTCTCCCGGAAGTTTCGCTGATTTTCATTTATCTATCCTTTCAAGGGAACACATCGCTAAGTTTCTAGAAAATGCTGAGAGCAACTCTTAGATAATAAACCAACACGCTTACTAATATACATACTAAATATACATATATATTATATGAAAAAATTGCACAACTTTATTAAAAAAACATCTGCAAAATCAACATGTAGGAAGATACAATTTTTTTTCATTAGTCTTCTCTTTGTATTTATATAATATATATATTTATTTATCATTTATGTATACGAAACAATAGGGAACTCCAAACCTGATCTTAATTAACAATAACTCCAGCACTTTAGAAGAACTTAGAGGTCACGATTACATATTTATATTACGTTTTGCATTTCATTTCTCTTTTCATTTTTCATCTAATTGTGATCAATGCCCTAATTAATCATTACAATTAACAGTTTTATTATTCATCCAGAAAATTTACGTTCAAGTTAATAATACTCTCTTGTATATTTTTATCTCAGACACTCTCGTACAGCTAAATATTCTCGACAGACAATAAAAAAGCATTTTTTTTTTTTTTTCAAACTTTATTTTTACTTCTGTTTCGATTAGTTTTTCATTCGCTAATGATTATTTTACTTTAATTTATTCATCCCGCGGATACTTCGTGATTTCTCACATTGCTTTCTTTTGCTTTTGCGTCGTCTTACAAAGTAATTTCAGCGATACTCTCTTCGTTTTAAAAAATCTCTCGACTTTTGCGTTAAAAAATGTTGTCGGTCTCTTGGATCGTCGGCTTGATTGAAAAGTCGCGTGTCATAGTAAATCGACGTCAATCGCGTTGCACGTGTACGTGATGATTTATAAACTCGTTTGAATACTCGAAAAAACGTGTATGGCTTAGTTTATGCGTTTTTTTCATCGTAAAAAAGTTTTGGTCAATCATTACTTTAAAGTACCGTTAAATTCCTTTAATGGCAGCATACAAGACAATGTCGTAATCAAATATAAATCTAGAGTATTATACAAATAAAAAAAAAGACAATCCTCATCTGGCAAATAAAAGCACAATTGAGAGTTTATTCGTTAGGTTTGTTATAAAATGTAAACGCGACATTCCGGGGTGCGTATACGCGAAAGTATTTTGTAAGACCACTTATTATTATTTTTTTTAATACTTCTTTTTTTTCATTTTTTATTTCTTTTTTTTTCATTTTTTTCATTTTTTTATTCATTTAACAAAGTGGCGGTACTAAACTAGTTATTGTATTTCTTTTCATACAGCGCTTTTTTTTCATTTGAGGGAAGACACGTGACGACGTCTCATGAAAACTCGAAACTCTCTTGTAATAATAATATTATAACACGTTCTCTCTGCCTTTCTCTCTCATCAACATCGCATCATCTTTCTCTCGAAATGGCCTCGGCGATAGCAACTAGTTTTTTTTCTTCTTCTTCTTCATCATTTAAGGAATAATGCAAGACACGACGGGACGTTACATATACAATAATGTACGTATATAAAGGATGAAATGGTTTGCAAGTGGAGAAAAAAAGGGGGAAAAAGGGATGAATAACATTGTTGTGCATGAACACTTTCGTTGTCCGGACTTACAGCGAGATTATCTTTGGTTTAGTTTGTTATTTTTTCTTCTTCTTCGTATTATATACTTAATTATTTTTACGAATTGATTTATTCCACAACGTATGATTTATCGCGTTAAAATAGAGCAATCGTAGTTTAACTGCTCGTTGCTAAAAAGAATAATTAATAACAAACTCTTTGATTTCGTCCACGAAATAAAGAACTTCTTTAGTAAACTTTTTTTTTCTTTGCTATGATTTATTTTTTTTCGAATTTTGTTCGATATTTATCACCCGAACGACATATAAATACTTTTTATGTAAATGTATATTTATATTTATGTATGTGTATTTATACATGTATATATATATATATAAA